GAAATACTGAGAATTGCATTCTTCAAATTGAAAACTTGCTCAGTGAGTTGAGCCAATCGAAACTGGATAAGCACCCTGTTGATGTTACCTCCAACTGCATTGGTGAATTTACGTGCACCTGAGGCAACAAGTACATTGGACAGAAAAGTAATCTGGACGAGACAATATCTTCACTACAACAGCTTCTGACCTATAAGCAACTATAAGCGGGGATTAGTGTAAGGATACTGTACAACAGAGTCAGGAAGTTAAGTTCGCCTAAGAAGGTAGATAAAGAATTAAGTTCTGTTGAAAATGATTAAAGGAAAACGGGTATCCAAAGGGATTTATCCTAAGGTGAAGAAGTAAGGAGAAAGACGAGAAAGGGAAGTATCCAACAGTTGGAAAGAATAGGTCCAAAGACACAATAAAAAGATACTTCCTTGCAGATAAGCTGGTAACGCTATACAGCACTACATGCTTTATAAGCCAATGGAAACTGGATAAACACCCTGCTGATGTTACCTCCAAATGTAGTGATAAATTTACGTGCACCTGTGGTATTAAGTACATTGGAAGGACAGAAAGAATGGCTTCTGTCCGCTGTTTTCGGAGCATATTCCAAGGAACTTTAAAAGGGAGCAAATATTTACAAAGTGCAATTGCCAGAAAACCACCATTTTGTCGAGATTTTCAAGTCTTTCAAAAAATTAAACATACAAAGGACAGCGAATTTACTACGATTTGCTGAAGCAATTGCAATCAAACGTTTCAGACCAAACTTATGCACACACAGAAAGAGAGTGTAGTCAATCTCTCACTCCCTTGGTAACCATATTACTTTGATTACGCTGATTAGTCATACACACTAGTGAGCTCAGCTCACTGAGCAAGTTTTCGATTGGATGAACTTTAACCTTCTTGAGTTGCTATGTAGACGTACAAGGTAACACTGTGTTATTAGACTTTTCTGTTTTCTGTCTTCTCTCACCACCCACCCCCCTTTTTTTCATAGTTTGAAAGCATATAAATTGATGGTAACTTAAACTAAAAATTGTAATGCTTATATTCCGGATGCGTTCATCTTATAATGTTTTCTCTATTACCTATCAAACATTGAAGTATGAAATGTCATTATTTATAACCCTTGTAATTTTAGGTAGTTTGCAGCTGATGAGAACCTGTGAAATAGAATGATGTATCATTTTATACTGCAAATCCAGTCTGTCTTTCTTTCTTTATCGAAATTTATCAAGGGAACCAAACGTATGAAATTACATTCATATATGAATCCTACTCACTCAAACTCCTATGTATGACGTGGTAAAGTTGTGGATGGGTAGACTTCGGTCTTCCTCTCAAAATCCTATCATCCTGCGGGGTCATCACACATCCATAGTCTGCCTCTATTAGAAAAGTCTTATTTACTGCCTTCACATGGCGGCAGGGAGGTTCTTCACAAAAGTGAGACAGCAAATGCGGAAATCTGGCGCTTACAACCCGACATTCTGGTGTCTACCTAGGGGAGTTGAGAAACCCTGATTCCATACATATGGTGTACATGGGCTCCAGAATCCAGATGGATAGAAAGGCGTATGTGAACCTGTTTTGGTCACAGGAAACCATGAGAAGGCAGCTCTCCTGACGCTGGTCAACTGCCTTATCGATTAGACTACAAGTCAAAGGCTTGGGCAATTGTCTCTTGAAACAACACCACTCACTTTGGGCCTGAGCGTCAGGGTATTATCCTAGCGCTAGCATAAACTATGGAATTTTGTGTAGCTCACCCTCTTGATGCCCACATAATGTACCAGGTTTATGTTACTTCAACTCGAAGTAAGCTTTTAAAATTCTCCACAAGTTTATTAACCACCTCTCCTGGTAACCTTGAGTGTGATTGGTTGTTTTTTGTGGATTTTCTCACTCTCTAGTCCACTTGTACTGATATTGATTGTTTCCTTGACCTACCAGTTGACCTTTCGTTCAAGTGATTTCCTTTTTTTATATTTTGGTAATTCTTGTCGGAGTCAATATGTCTGTTGATTGCTAATTTACTAGAATGCTAGGCTTCTAGAAATGCTCTAGTGTTTCCTTTATATAGGATTCAAACACTATCCTAATCGAATTGATCTCCGAGGTTGTCAACATGCAGTGATATCAGGGAGTGGATATCGTGTCTTTTGACGGCCAGTTCATGTTCATGGATGCGAAGACGAAGATGGAGTTGACTATGACCAATGTAATGTTGTTTCATACTTGTGGTAATTTATCTCGCAGATGTGATGTCTTCTGTCGGTGTCGAGTCTTTCGACTGACAAAGAGACAAGTGAAGTAATTTTGTTGGTTTGTGGGCAACACTAATTCCGAAGGGTTTAAACAGTCTTACACTAATTTCGGAGATGTTCTTTATATGTGGTAGGACAATTTTATATGTGTTCTCTTTGAAAACTTTTGATTCGATTGGTTGGTTGGTTTGAAGGTAGATGTCTTATGACGAAGTTCCGTGGATCTCCATCTACCTGAACTAAAATCTCCATTATATCCAAGTCCTATATATATATATATATATATATATATATATATATATATACTACTTGGTGACCAATAAAGTGTCCATTACAATCCTACAGGGGGGGGGGGTAAATAGCTGCCTAAACGGCTTTTGAGTGCAATATTAGGTGACGCAGGTTCAAACCTTATAAGGGGCACGAGTTACCTTGAAATTGCAGATACGCCTTGCTGACTGGTGAGTGGTTAACAAGCAGGAAACCTAGGTCCAGAGCTTCCCGCAGATTACTGCCAATCACCTAACATCAATAAAGTATGTCATTTACTCGACACCGATATTTCTGCACTATGTTATGAGTCCCGCCAAATTTGTGAAGGCTTACAGTACAAACTTAGTGACTGGGCTAAAGAAACGTAGAATATTCCAAACGACACTTTATCCGACGGAAAGGATAGAGTTTTCAAGCGATTGGCTTTGAATACATTCTTTCCCTCCTACTTTGATCTAAGTATATATGAGTATATGCCGCTCTTGTTACGACGGAGTGATACTGGGTTGTGGATTCGTCTAACTTGACTAGAACGCACCTCCAGAACACGACACTAACTTACAATCAACTGATCATTTGGACTTATTCATCTCCCACACTTACTTCGATAGACATAAAAGTCAGATTAGGAAAAATGACGACCGGAAAGAAATCTTTAATTAAACAAAATATATAGTATTCATATATTCACCAAAACCCTCAGAAATTGAAGCCGTAAGTAGTACAAATCTGATTGGTTGTAAGACACCGAAATTCATCAGAAAATTAAGCCACAAATAAACCAATCAAAACTGTCCGATAAGGTTATCATATCAGTACATGCATAAATCACAACAATTTCATGGTTAGCAAAGACGCTTGTCCACCTTAACACCTCTCGTTTTTATTAGGCTCCCGATTGGTAGGTGCATGCACTCTTCTGTGTCTATGATATACATAAAAACATTTGTTCTAAATAATAAAAGAATTTGATTGAAAAAGTGGAATAAGCGTTGAAGGTGGTGATGTCTAGAAGGATAATGACGACTTAGCAGTTAATTCACCAGCGTTCAGAAGAAACAACAAGCTATTTAATATTTAGCTGGAGAGGAAAATAATTAGACATTTTTATATATTATTATATTATTGTTCCTTTGGATTCCGAGTGGAACATGGGACTTCAACAGCACGTCTCCACCTTGTTCTATTCTCTGCGGTTCACTTTAGCTGGCTCCACAGTTGCCCATAGTCTTTCATCTCCTGCTTTCACGATCCCCTCCATGTCACCCTCGAAAACCCCATTTGTTGTTCCACTTTCGGGTTTCACTCGAGCAATGACCTAGCTGACGCGCGATATCACCCTTTTAAACGCTTCTAAGGCCATACTGATTGGTATATTAGTGTACAGACTAGTTATATCAAAACTGATTCTCAATAAAGCAGGAATTAGGGTGGCATTCAAACCTACAAACTCACTCAGGTTGGACAAGCTCTGTAGGCTAAGAGACCCGGTGGACCCAATTAAACAAAATAATATAATTTACAAAATACCTTGCAATGACTGTGAGTTAAGTCAACTACATAGGTCAAACTAGTAGATCAGGAGTAGTCAGATTGTCGGAACATAAGAATTTAGCTAAGGTAAGAATGGTTGACCCCGAGAAGATAAGTAATTTAGAAAAACAAACTCAGCAATTGCACTGCATGCATTAACACACAACCACACAATAGGGTGGGAGAGGGTTAAAATTCCAAGAAGTAATCTAAGTAGGTGGAGAGAGAGATTGATTACTGAATCCTGCCTGGTTCATCGTTTGGTCTACACCCAACACATGCAACAGAAATGACTCAATGCAAATACCAGAGACATGGAAGATATTATTACCACCAGTCAGTCAAATCAGAGGAGGATAATAAATAATCTTAAAATTCTATTTCAATTCACGTACATTATAACATTCTAACAAGTTACTTATTTTGACTATAAAAACACTCGTCTTATTTCCCATCTGATTGTAATTGATCAATAACACTCATATTATTATTTCTGAATGTACATTATCCTGTATTGATTTTTATTCCAATATCTCATCGATTCCACACATGTATATAAATGAAGGAAAAAGTTGTGTGAGTAACTTGATATGATTATGAGCAATAATTTGTGCTCGAAAGGTGGTCATCAGTTAATATTAATTACTGTATAGCAAACACTGTGTGATTTATCAAAATAAAATCTTATCCATAATGGAGTTATACTCTACCACAGTGCCCAAGTTTTATACTTATATCAATAATACATAAGGTGGAATGGAGATGTGTTGCTGAAGCGCCATATTCCACTCCGGAATCCAGAGACAGTAATAATAATAATAAATACATAACATAAAACAAAATAACTAAATTAGACAACAACTTAAGCAAATGAGTTCAAAAACAATAAAGTAATTACAACTAAATAACTAATGGCATTAACACGCTTACCCTGCTTTTATATGGAGCAACAGCTTGACGATGAGTATCAGTAAATGAAACAGGCAAATTTTCATTGTCCAAGTAATCAATCTTTACAAGGAAAAAAAAAGAGAATAAAGCATAGGAATAACCACATTAAGAATACATCTCGCATGGATTAAGAACAAACAAAAAAAAGATATTGCCTAATACTAACTAGTGCTACTTACCATCTAACATGAATTGATGATAAACTAGGTAATTAGTATGAAAGGAATACAATTAACCAATAATGGATTCGAGGATAGAGCTGCTGCTATTCTTCTTTTCTCCTCTAGCTGGCTAACCAAGCTGGACAGTGTTCCAGAATACGTTTGTGGACATGACGTTGCGTACGCCGATATACTTTGCTCCACACGAGCAAGTAAATTGATAAATACACATTGAAGTGGCCAAAAGCGAAGACTCTCTTCATGAACCTAGAATTCAAAGGTGATATCGCAGCGGAAATTCTCAGAAACCGGCTTTCTAAATGTCTGAAGAACACATTCCCGACAGCCACCCTACGTATCACATTCTCCTGCAGACAGCTGTTAATCCAGTCTAACGCTAAGGACAAGATGCCGCTTCTGGCCACTTCAATGTGTATTTATCAATTTACTTGCTCGTGTGGAGCAAAGTATATCGGCCGTACGCAACGTCAAGTTCACAAACGTATTCTGGAACACTGTCCAGCTTGGTTAGCCAGCCAGAGGAGAAAAGAAGAATAGCAGCAGCTCTATCCTCGAACACCTTGTCATCATCTCCGGACATCGAGCACCCCCACATGAATGCTTCACAATAATAGATTATATAATTTATCTCACCTAGATAACTAGTCAATCCTACAGTCCATAAACAGAGAGAAGATCGGGTGTGGAGCTAACAACTCTACTCAGGGAAATCAACCCAATCAATCAGTACAGAAACTTCAGAGCACAGAGAAAATAATTTAAAAATCGGGGAGGTGAGATGGTTCGGACTTGCGAAAGCTTTCGGGGAAAGCCAGCTGGCAGATGTGACTTCTTTCAATGAAAGCAAAAGTAAGCACAGGGACATGGAATGTCCATACGATGTTGCTTCTCAGATTGCAAAAGAAATGAGAAAATATTCGAAAACACAGGCATACGTTGATGTGGAAAAAAGACCATTGAAAACCTGAGTTTTGTAGATGGCCTACGTCTCGCGTCTCTCATAAGACCAACGATTCACAAGGAAAGACAGGGCTGCAAGTGAGCGTGAAGAAGACAGAGGTGATGAAGATATCTAAACAATAACAAGCACTAATCGTCGCTAGTGGAAGGAAGCTAGAGAATGTTGGTCTTTTTCACTAACTACCGGCGCCGGCGGCGGCGGCACGAATGACGATATTATAGGCAGGATCGAAAAAGCAAAACAGATCCTCGAAACTCTAAAGCCTGAGCGGAAATATACTGCACTCAGCACAACAAACAAGATCTGGATTTTCAACACTAATGTCAAATCAATCTGTGATTCCATATGGCTCACAAGAGTGACGCAGTCGTCACCGAAAGCCTTTCCAACAGGCTACTGCAAACTTTTATCGACACGTGTCTTCGCCCCTTACGGAAGATTAGATGGCCAGAAAGGATAAGCAATAATAAAAACTTATAGGTTTCCAGGCCATAGATGTTACGAACTTCCTGGAATAATTTGAGCGCCGAGTCAGATTTTTATAATGAATAATAAAAACTTTGGAAACGAACCAACTGACAGCCAATCACCCGACAAGTAAGAGGAAGAAATTGGAGATGGACTGGGCATACGCTAAGGGGACCGTTGAGCGATATCGCACGCCAGATAGGCCCTCGAGTGGGAAATGACGAGGTGAGCGTCGCATTGAGAGCGAAGCAGAAGCGACTGTGTGGGGGTGGAAATGAAAGCAATAATGAAGCCAGCTTATGAAGACTATAGAGGACAGAGTGAAATGGTAGTGTGCTACTGAAATCGTACGTTTAACTCTGTCTGTCTGTTTTCGACATAGAATTTTGCACGTATGTGCGGTAGTTCAAGTCGCCACACTCCATGTATCACACAAAGAAAGAGAAGAAAGTAGAAGATGCAAAATAGAGACAGTAGACAGGGATATGAGACAAAAGGAATAGTAATAACGAAGAACAATATAGTTTCATTGGAAATTATAAGTCACAAGGAGTGGATGCATCTGCGCCAGCCATTGAAAACTACTTTGAGCTATATCACCAATTATTTCCACTATTGGTTCTTACCATCCCAAGGACGCCAACCAGGAAGTCTACACCTTCCTACGTGGCCTAGACTAACTGTTGTAGATTTCATTGACTGGTGCCATGTTTTGGTTTGACCACCGCTAGCTCTTTTCCAGCCTGACCCTATATCAGCTAACATTGCCCGTCGAGGAAGGCGATGACCAGGCATGTGTAACAGATTTCCTAACCATCTCAGTCGATGTAATTTCACAGCCTCGTCGATTGATTTCCCCTCTTTACCTAGCACTTGACGCCTAACTTCAATATTGCTCACCTTATTATACCACTTCACACGGAAGATAGAACGCAGACACCTATGATCCACTCTGAACCCAAAGGACCAAGAAGATGAAGAAGAAGAAAGTGAAATATCTCGTTGTGGAGGGGAATAACGGTTAACGATTGGCTTTGTTTCTATGAAGGGGTTTAAATTACTTAAAGGGAATTAGTGAATACCGGAATCTTTAGCAGTACACATTTAACAACTTTGTCAGACGATGGACCAATGTTCATCAAGTTTTGTTTGTGACGACTACTTTACTGTTCAGCTGCTGAGATGAAATCTAACCGTCTACGTTATCTTATATAGGTAAACACATTAGTCTGCGCTAAGTATCCATTCGTGTCTGAACATTCGCTGGCCCCAGCACAGTTCTCGATGAGTGCTGATTAGGCATCACAAACTGGAAATATGGAAGTGTTACTCAGTAACCACTTGGGTTTGAGTCCAATTGGTGATGAGCCGTATCTATTGCTACTGCTAATAATACTACCTGGCTGCCCAAATATGGAGAGCTGTGAGGTTCGAACCCATGGCTCATCGATTACAAGTCGAGCACCTAAACTTACCAATCACAGCTCCACATGTCTCAAAATAGGATAAAGCAGGCACTTAGTACTTTCTTGTGTTTTCCTACCTAATATCGACCTATAACAAAATCGATTTTGAAATAATCATTTAGACAAATAAAAAATAACTTCCTTAGAGTGACAAGTTATCAGATTATCTATTTACTGCATCGGACAGTGATCATTTTTAAAATTTAAAGATTTAAGGATCTTTCAAACGCTCATTTTGAGTAAAGATTAATGAAGCGCATAAAATATATGTTTGGTTCTCAACACTATCAGCAGTACAGTTTATAATTTCAACAAAAACAAAACAACTACTAATACTAACTCACCACAACAAGATCAGATGGTTCCAGGACAAGACAGTCATTACGACGATAAAAATTTCCATTGGTACGAGTTCCAAAACTATAAAATTAAGGAGAAATTAAGAGATTACCGTGTAAATAATTAAGACTGACTGAGTTTTCAATACAGAACTGTGAACACAAAAGCAACAGTCCAACTTACCACACTGCATATAGCACAAAAAGATTGAGAACAACATTCAAAGGAACTGTAATAGGGAGGAAGAATAATTACGTGGAGGAAGATGAGGATTTAATCAATCTGAAAGATTAAAAAGAGTGACTGCATATCAGCCACTGAGAAAAATAGTGATCCATATCAACAACAGTCTCAAACTCTTAGTTCTCAGAGTCCTCAGGACCCTAGCCCGTCAATCTACACCTCTCTACATGGATCAAAACAATAGCTAAAGACTACGTGGATTAATGTTAAGTTTTCATTAGACCACCCGTAGATCTTTTCTAACCTAATCAACTGTCGTTTAGCATTGTTCGACGAGAAGGGCATACATAGAACGTGTCTTAGCCATCTCAAATGATGTAGCCCCATAACCTAACACTCTATGCCTAGCGAATTCTACTCACTACCATTTTTTATTTCATTTTATTTAAACGCAGAAAAAACTTGGTACAATATGGAACCAAGAAAGATGCGCCACACAATAATAATAAAACAACATAGATTAAAAGTAAAAATATAAGTAGAAAACGGATAAAGAACTTTATCTGGAAGGAAAAAGTCATGTTTAACAAGTTCAAACAGTATTCGTTAACTATCATCAGGAAGGGAAGAAAGAAGGAAATTGCAACACGTTCGCCATTGATCACGATTCTTGGCCATATCCTATAACGTTTCGAGCCATCGATTCGAGCTATCTCGCGGACCCCAACCGGGTAGTCATGACGCACCAACTGATACTAATCTAGCACAAAAATCCTTCATCCCACGATGCCACGTCATGAACTGACCACCCCTCCGCCTTTTACAACCAGTCCCAGGGCTAGCGAACAGAGACCTGTACGGAAGCCTCTGGGATGACATTCGCAGCACATGTCCAAGCCACTGAAGCCGGTGTTTCCAGATGACGACACTCAATGAATGGTGATCTCCACTGTGTTCAAACACACACCACCGAACCTCAGAATTACTCACGCGATGATGCCATCGAACGCAAGCAATCCTGCGGAGACAGCGATGATCGAACACGCAGAGTCGCCTCACATCCTCAGCTCGGAGAGGCCAGGTTTCACAGGCGTAGAGCAAGATAGCCCGCACCGAAGCATTGTATACCCGACCTTTGAAAACCAGGCTAACGTCGCGACGGCGCCAGAGGTTGATGTATGCCACCCTAGCCTTCATTATACGGTTAGAAATTTCATCCATCACCCCTCCGCCAGCACTCACACAACTACCCAGGTACACAAACTTATCGACAACTTCAAGCGGTTCACCCGCAAGAGTGAGTGCAGGTACAGGCTCCTGCCAATCTTGTAACAGTACTTTGCACTTAGACAGTGCAAAGCACATACCATACTTACAGACACTGATCGCCAACTGATTAAGTGCGATTTGGGCAGCCTGCATGCTATCGCACAGTAAGACGATATCGTCTGCACACTCGAGGTCGAAAAGTTTATCTCTATCTCACCACCATATTAAACCAATTAACACAGGAGACGCAACGTAAGCACCTAAGGTAAAATGCAGCCAGCTTCTACGATTCTTCCACTTTTAACTGCCGCATCCCAGAACCATAGAGAGGAATAGAAACAACTGATGCGCTTTAATCGGTAGTGCAAATAGACAGTTAACTATTCCAATTGACACTGATTCCAACCAAAATAACTGGAAATCTTTTAAGTATTTAAACTCCGAGAAAAATTCAAAAACAACAGCACAAAAGAGTACAGTAGTTCAAGGTATCACACACACACACACAAACACTCCATGTAGTACAAAAAGATACATAAACAGGTAGTGATTTTCTAAAGTAGTCTATCCTAAAATAAGAAATGAAACTGCAAAGTTGAAAAGCCTCGATTTCTTCAGATTATTATTTTTCGACTTACCATGCTCGAGGTAAAAACATTGAGCTCTCGATAAGCACTGACCCACTGATTAGAATGAACCAGGCATCACACCATTCACCAATATGATATAATAAGACATCACCAGGGACACGACGATAACGTGCATAACGACTAATTGAACGTAATTCAGCATCTCGATAAGCTAATGATGGACTGGGAATATTCAGACCTTCTATTGTACGAAGATAACTAAAAATAGCAGCATTTTCCTGAGTTGTTTGTTTGTTTTTTTTTATTAGGAAAAAGAAGCAAATTGAACACAAAAGCATTGATTAGTAACATGATTAGGATGCATAACAGAGAAATACTCATAATTTAGGACTTTACTACCACTCTCTTTGGAATGCGTTTAACAGATTTTGGTAGTAAAATACTAGAAAACAGAAGGATAGCTTCCTAATTAATACACTGAAGTCTTAAAATGATGGTGGCTAATTGGCTTAAACACTCAACTTTTAGCTGGTAGGTGCTGAGTTCGAGACCCGCTAGCCCTGCTTTAGCCTGGTCAACCATGCAGTAGCATCACGCCTCACACATTTGAAGTGGCTCATAGTCTGGTTGCTATATTAAACACCAATTCCGGGTAATTGAGTTCGGGTATGGCACGTGTATTGATAAGCTTCAATATGTTACGTTTATGACGTAACCGTTAGGTTTACAGACGACATTACATAGTTCCCATGGCCCTCTAAGAGCCTTGTCTTAGCCTTGTTTAGAATTTCCTTATGGCAGGATACACATCCGATTAGATATCCTGAGCTAATAAAATATCCTAGTAGTTAGGCTGTCTCTTTTTCTAATATACTGACTCCCCCTCGTTGTTGGGTTTTGAAGAAGAGTAATTCTAATGCATTATGTCAGTCTTGCAGTACCTATCAACACATATACATGCATAGCGGACATTCAGAGGTGTATTGAATGCTCCAAAATATCATAGTATGATTTTGTTATCAAGAATTGAAGTCAGAGAACTGTTGAAAATCTTGGCAGCACTTGGCCAGCTGTTTCATTCTAGTTATCGATTTTTCAACAAGACGAATCTACGATGGATCCAATGAGTGATAAAATCCAGGACCTTCAACTCTTGAAACTAATATGTGTCACCATTCAGCCGATGAGTTTGAATTCAATGACGCATGAACTCTAACTCCTACCAATCCAACCTGGTCCTCTTTCATCTATGAGTAACATTCCTTACATATCACGAAATATACACATTTGATCATAGAGGATAGTAAAAAGACAGTTGCAGCGAAGGAAATTTTCTTTTCGACGAAATCATCAACTAGGCTGTACATTCGTGTATTTATAATAAATGGGTAGGAAAGTTCCAGAATAATTTCTGGTCGAGTCAGATTAATAGAATTACAATTAGGAATTAAAATGCCATAACAAACAGGGGCGGGGGACGAATAAAGCTCAGACAAAGTAGCATCATAATTGCTGAGAAGATTGATATATTGTGCAACTAGTGGTTAGAAATGTAGGAGTAACAACAGTAGTGGGATCATAACTAATGTGACCAATAATTGTTTATGCAATCAGGGATTAAATATGTAGAAATAATTAGGTAATTCTTCTAGTAGTGACTATCCCATTGACTTTCTTAGCTAAACTTCCTGTTTATTCATGTTATTTTAAGTTTTTCTTAATCCCTCTTTACACTACCATATTTTCATATCCGAACTTCTTGTCTTTTTTGTCATTTTATTATTTATACATATTTAATCCCTGATTGCATAAACAATTATTCGTCACATTAGTTATGATCCCACTAGATTTTGTTATCCAAACATCCTGTCTGTTGTTGTTATTTCTACATTTTTAACCCCCAGTTGCACAATAAGTCAATCTTCTCAGTAACTATGATGCTACTTTGTCTGAGCTTTATTCGTCCCCCGCCCCTGTTTATTATGGCATTTTAATTCCTAATTGTAATTCTATTAATTTGACCCTTGACCGGAAATTATTCTGGAACTTTCCTACTCATTTATTATAAATACACGAATGTGCAGCCTAGTTGATGATTTCATCGAATTTTCTTAGCTGCAACTGTCTTTTTATTCCTTACAAATCTTAAGTGAATCACTAAAAAAAACTTTAACACTACATTTAACCATAAATACACAAATGATATAGCTATGAAAGCTAAGCATACTTGTGGCGATCTTTGATTAGGAGGGATAGCCAAAGTACGAATGAAAGCTGCATCTTCGTCATCCATAATGACCTACATTGTGTGATAACAAAAAAACAAAAAACAAAATTTTCTAAAGTAAAATATAAGCGTAAAAATGCATAATTGCCATATTTGGTTTACCATATATTCAAGGGTGATTTAGGCATTGACCTTTAACCTTTCTCTCCCTCTAGGATACATTTACGAGGTCACCACAAGAAGGTGCGGAAACCGAGGTCGATAAAATACGTGTGGAGTTTAGATTCACTCACAGAGTGGTCAACGACTGGAACTCCTTACCTGATTCAGTAGTAATAGCTCCATCGGTGAACGTTTTCAAAGAGAGACTGGATCTCTGTTGAGATCTATATCGCGAGGATTAACATAGGTAACAAGAGCCTTCTATTCTTATAATCTGAATCTGGTCACATATGGTATTATCATTATCAAAGTGTGAACACAATTATGAAGTTAGTTTTGTTGACAGTAGATAATGTCGAAAGATGTGAAGGCAAAAGTCATCAGAAAGGAATCCATAGAATGATATTGAAAACAATCTGTTAAAGAAAGACAATTATTTATTTATGTCTGGAGCTGAATAGGAAGACATATGACAGTAACTGCATTAGGAAGACGAATGAGTTTCAACATCGAATTCTGCAGCGAAGTGTAACAGCTGAAGCCGCTACACCGTATAGCACAAAAAATCAAAGAACAGAGAGGAAATGAGAATTTGAAAAAACCATAATGAGTGGAAAGGTACGGGAAAATAAAATAGTCAAACAGAAAAATATGAGGGTTTAGTGGTTATGGGAGAGTATAAAAAAAGTGAATCCATCTGAGCCATTGAGGAAGACTTCAAACTATATCACTATTTTTCTAACCATCGGTTCTTGGAATATCGAGGACCCCAACCGGAGTATACACCTCCCTACCTTGCAGAAACTAGTTTAACAAATTAGTCTCAGATTTTAAATTGACTCCCACTAACTCTTACAACCTAATCATATACCAGCTAACACTGCTTGACACGGGAACTCAAAACTCAGTAGGCGCAACATATGACCAGATGACCTCAGTCGATGAGGCTTCACAACCTCATCGATCAACTTCACTTCATTGATTTGCACTTTACGCTAAAACGCGAAATTACCCACCAAATTACATCACGAAACACGAGAGAAAGGGCGCGAAATTCTGTGGACAAAGACAAATAGCTTTTTAATATCCTCCATATCAATGTCTATATCTCACAGCCATACACACCTTCTTCCTGGCCTAGAGCGTGACTGGTATTCACGGGTTTGGTTCTCATGAGAGTCACTTCAACTACGGATGATTATTGATACTACTTTAGTCAATTTCATTTCCCCGTGAATATCACAGGAAAAATTGTCCCATTTCCGATAAACTGGGGATAATAAACGATTTACACTAGTCTAACCGGACTATCTGTGATGCCCTGGAATTACCTTGTATCTTAGTTAGCCCAAACAACATTAAGTGATCACCGTTCTTAAACACCCCTAAATTCATTCCATCTGGTCTTGCTGATTTACCTAGTTTCCTGTTAGAGACAACCTTTGGAACCTCAGTTCCAGTTCGAGGACGATGTCGACATCCCATTCAGGTAAGTGTTGAATGATGAGTAAATTGAGCCTGGCTGTAGGTCAGTTAAATTAAGGTAGGCTGTTAACTGCTCCTTACGGTTCCCTCCAACCATGATCACGGTTGTTCAGAAACAACAAGGGACTAAAATAATTCACACCATAAAAAACAACGGAAAACAAGAAAAACACGTCTAGAGAAGACTAACAGTCTAGTTAAGGGATATTAGAGACTCAATACACCAACATACAGGTTTTATAGTGTATAAGTGCAATATTACACACTTACGGATTCAAAAGTTGCCACTAATTTATTCTTATCAGAAATTGGTAATCCTTTTTACGTCTGCCAAACACACATATATTTTAGTCCTCATCACATTTCCACCGTTGTTCACAAACTGACACATGATAGTCCGTCAACGAACATTATTTTATCTGCCCGCCTGTGCAATAAACAATTGACAATTTGGCTTGTGATTGGTCAGTTTGACGTTACGTTTAAAATCACAGTTGCGGCACTTTCAAAAAAAATAGTTAATTGGAGCATTTAATCGGACGGCTGTATACTATTACGGCACAAAAAAAGTGTTGTGTTAGTGGATTTATCCGCTCAATTCAGTGAATTAGTTCTATATTGAAGCCTAAGGTCTTGACGGGAGTTTCAAGAATGCATCCAGAGTTTTGATTATGTACAACTTAAGATATTGCTAGCCAATTATATCCAGCGAAACAGCGGTCTCTATAAAACACGTGACAGCTGGGTTTATCGTGGTGAAGATGACATGGTTGGTGCATCACGTAAGTATCTGTATGTGGTCTTTTGTTGTCACGTTGGTCGCAGGCAGAATCAGGGGTGAGAGAACATAGTGAGTGTAATGAAACATATAGGCCTAATTTTTTAGATCGAAATACATAGGGTGAAATTCACCTTCAGAATTAAGCAGTAGAAGGTAGCTGAGCCTATCGGTGCTACACACAACCGTTCGTTGATGGGTTAGCTACTGAAGTCTGTGGAGCCGCAATTTCTCAGTCTCAGACATGAACAGCAGTTGCGAATATAACCGCCAGCAGAAAGGAATGCCTTTCCTGCAGAAGTGACCAGCATGACCAGTGCTTAAATTTCTGCCAGTTTGTCCGCCCTAGTCACTGACCCTTTTGCATTAACAGTCTATGGAGGAATTTGATAAATGGACCCACCCATAGATGAAATTCATGAGACAGGGCCAATGTGATACCTCATGGACAACGAATATCAAGCTGAAAATTCTGATTACGCAAACAACGGAAATCATACCTACGTTCAAAATTTTCCTGAAGTTGTTGGAATAGAGGAGGATAAGAGTCGAGTAAGTCAGCCTTTGTACTGTGTCCAACAGAGCTCTTGCTGTCATTTACAGTGCTTGATTAAAGTGCTAGTGAGACTAATAGGCCCGTAATTTCAAGGACTTTGTGTTGATCCTACTTTGTGGATGGGAGTTACTATGGCGTCTTTCCAGTCACGAGGTAACACACCATCTTGAAGAGATAGCTTGAAGACTGTAGTCAGTGGGCCGGCTATTTGAGCTGACAACTCCTTGAGAAACTCGGATAAAGATTATCAAGACCCACTGAGTTCTCTGCATCCATATTTTAGGTAGTTGAGCACGATATTTTAGTCGACGTCCACAGAGTCTACCCTGTGTTCCTCCAATGCAGCCAGAGCTGATGCTATGGAGATTGACGACTCCTGTGTAAAGACTTTGGAGAAGTCTGCCATTGCTTCTGCTTTTTTTGACCCTCTTCGAATGTGTCGTTGGCAATAGTCAGGTTTGGGACGTCACTGGATGTCTTGCTCCTGAAGTTCATGTACGATGAAATTTTCGTAGGTTATGCCTTTGCATTCTGAGCCAGATTTGCCTCGAACTCCATCCTTGATTGGCGGATTTATGCAATAGCTTTTTTACTAGCAATGTTGTATAACTTTCTGGTCTCAGACGTCTCAGGTGTGGTGAATGGGTTCCAGCACTTATGTTTGAGTCCGAGTAATTTGCGAAACTTCCGGTTAATCCACGGGGGGCTAATGTTTCCAACCATTTGAAACAGACCATGGGATGAAATGTTCGGTTATCTGAGGATAAAGTTACTTAAGCCGGTTCTATGTGGCTTTAACTTGTGACTCTGGGTCTATGAGCCGGTTCACTGAGTTGACTGTTGAGACTATAGCATCTATATAATAATAATTTATATTTCGTATAAACGGGTAAGTTTACATGAAATGCATGCCATTTTTACAGCCACGATCAATTATGTTACGAATTACAATTATGAATTAGCATACATTATCACTTTTTTCTTAAAAAAGTTCAAATTGTTGAATTATATAGTACAAGCAATCGGAACAGATTCTTATAATTGTTAATTTGTAAATCTTTCACGAAGGTCTCCATCGAAGTTGAGCGACAACCCATACTTCTTTCCATTTCCTGATGATAGTAATGGCCTATCGATAAACAACATATATTTGAGTGAGTACTGTGACCCCACGTGCTTGAACGCTCTTTCAGGAATAGGGGAAAATCCTGCACAGCTATAAATTGGTATAAAATGCAATCATGAATAATATATTATTGGAAGTATATTTACAAGAAAAATACAAGAATAAGCTATACAGTACTTGATATGATAGTGCACATTTGCAATGTATGATGCTAACCATATTGGTCCTACCATGGAAAACTATGACGTTTTCTATGAAAATATGGTTATTCTGAAACATGAGTGTTGTTGTGTTTTTTTATCATCAGAGCAACCAAACTTTACGCGAGAAAAGGGGTGTAAATGAGAAGAAGGAAAAGAAAAAAAAATAAATTTCAGCTTTATTAAAGTCCTAGGAAGTTGAGGTAAAATAGAGTATAATAGTTATTAGGTAAAAGGATTATCGTGAAGTATATAAGTGACATTTCAGAGAGAAGTGGCTAGAAGGATTAGAACCTGTTGAATATGGTGACCTGTAGGATGTTTGGCGAACTTGTGTATGGCCCATGGGATAGCATCTTGACAAGAAACTGAGCAGGCTTGCAGATGTTAGGAGCGAAAGCATCATTTTCTTACAAGCTAAAACTGTACAGTCATTATTGTTTTAATTTTTTAAAATTTTTTTTGAAGTATAATTTTTTAAGTTATCGTTCAGATGGAACTAACGAAAAAGTAAATTCCGAAAATCAGGGTTTAAGGTAGATTCGGACTGTCACACAATTGAGACGACTGGTGATGAAAACCTCAGATTTCCAGTATAATCAACCTTAAGTCAATAAAAATAAACTACTAAGAACAAACTCGACAACTATTTACAGATAACAATCCTCCTATTCGAATAGTAAAGATACTTAAAAGGGGGCAACTTCAGTCAAGGTTGGAGTTCGTTAGAAAAAATCAGAACTATAGATATAGCACTGAATAGATAATATAACACGCAAAACTTCGAAAAATTGCACAGAATCACCTAATTGAACCAGATATATCCCATAAAATATACATCCCAAACCTGCAGATGGCAGGGTCAGTGACAACAGAGTTTATATAATACTTCCAAGGAAAAATAGCATCTCACAAGTATTCTTATGTGTAGAATGTGAAAATTCAACAGTTTCCGGTAAAAATTGTGTGTAAATAGTTTGTATACGGTTTGAAAGAATTCGACCGAAAATGTAGCGTCTCAATTCCAATGTTGCGTGATAGCGTCACTACGCCAGCTACCAGTGTGACTTGGCACAGTATGCGAGCAGGTTGTGTCGTTGTTGTCCTTCGACTCTATGTCCTGGTTTTTGTTTTTAATTTGATTGCTGGCATATTATTTACCTTAAAGAGTGAGTTATTCTTGGGAGTCTGAATATGTTGGGGATTCTTCGCAACAAGTGGCGTATTTCGGTATGTTTTGTTACCGAATTCCACTTGCGTTGTCACGTTTTGTCTAGGAGAGGTTGTTGTCAGCTTACGAGAAAGATTGATTTCTATCTCATGGCTGTCCATAGATATATCTAGATCCACGGTAGAGGGAGGAGGGGTTAATTTAGGAGTAAGACTATAGCTCACAAGTCTTTCGTTTGGTTTCGTGTTCCGTTGAGCTATTTTGTGAGATTTGAGGGGGGGGCTATGAGTTCTACCGTGTTGGTAGTGTGTTTATCTATTTAAGTGGCTTGCGGTGTCTTGCCATTGGGTTTATTGAGGCGATTGTAAGCACGCCTTTCAATCACTGTCTTATCTGCTACAACTTTTATTTGTTTGTAGCTTGTGTCCTGTAATAAGATGCGCTGTGTATTGGTGAATTTCTTAGCCTCTGTCAGGGTTTCAAACTGAAGGCGTATAGGACAGCAGTGGTCGTGCTGACTCTTCTTCAGTCGATGACATTTTGTTTGGGAGTTAGGCATTTTCGCCGCCCTAAGTAGGATGCTTTGAACTTTTTTCAGCCCCTCATTATCTGGCGTATTATAGACAATCACACTTAGTTTAGTATCAAGTCTTCTGATAACCTCTGTTGTGATGAAGTTTATCAAAGTGTCTACTTTAGTTACTGATTCTGTGTGAAGTTCGCCAGGGTTTATGGTCCTAGTCAAGATGTTCAGAGGTGCAAGTTAACATACTTGTGATTTTATATCACTAATCTGTGTTGATAGTTCAGATAAGTTGGCCAAATTAACTGAAGAACCTGCATTCATAACTTTACTACACCTTAGGTCCCGCATCTTAGACTTCAGTTCTTCTACAAACAGCTTAAGTCGTTCTATTTCTGAAGTAAGTGTTGGAGCTGGACTTGGTATCTGAAGTTTTGTGACACGTACATAGGGTGAAGTGAAGAGGTTTATCTCAGGACCAGGTGCTGAGTTTTTAGAGGCAACGCCACTAATGGTTGTCAGCATATTTTCGCTCTCAGTTTCAGCCACAGTAGATGGTAGTGAACCGGTAGCTCAACGCTTGCGGCGTATTGGCAAGCTGTGCGCCTCACTTCCATACTTCGTGGGAGTTGTGCTGTTCGTTGTTGCGAGCATATATGTACTATCAGTCATCAGGTTAGCAGGTGACTGAGTTCGTGGCGTTTTTGTATGACTAACCATAACTAATTAGTGAGAGTTATTGGTTACAATTATGGAACTGGAGAAACACTTGTGCAAGTCTCACAGTAAAAATGGAAATATATAGCGAATCAAGCTAAAATGTAACGCAAACGCTGAACGTACCGTGTGGGTCAATGACGGCGAGTTCATAACAAACCCCTATAAATGGACGCCCAGTCCGACCGCCTTATAATTCAAAAACTCTCCTGGTGCCGACGCACAAACAGAATCAGTTTATAGTGATATTTTCAGCCAGTTTGTTGTATCACGTGACTTATCCACGATATTACTGATTAATGCACGTTCCCTAATCATCAAGATATCTGAACTAAGGACACTACGACTAATCGCCACGCCTATTGTAGCTCTTATAACTGAATCATGGTGCTCATCCTCTACACTTGATGTGCACATAGGTATGGATGATAGCTCAAGCAGTTAAAAGCCTTAGAGCTTCAACGAGCATGGGGCTGGATGGCCTTACTTCGATAGTTTTCAAAACAGTAGGTGTGGTATTGCTCTCTTACTCCTTAAATCCTTCTCAATATCTGTGGACACTGGCACTTACCCTAATGAGATGAAAACGAACTGTAAATTCCACACTACAAATCTGGTGATAAGGCAATCATCAGACTATCTACTTAGGGAAGATCTTGTTACAAAATCTCAACATGGATTTCTGAGAAACAGGCCTCGTGTTACTAGTCACTTCTACTTTTTCAACTGTATCACTAGTAATCGCGAAGCTCGTGAGCTAGTTGTTGTTCTCTACTTCGATATATCTAGGGCATTTGACATGGTATCTCACAGTATTCTCTTTGAGAAGCTGTACTCGTGTGGAATAACCAAAGTCGGATCTGTATTGTCGCATCCTAGGCAGATCGCAAGTGGGGTTGTGCAAGGTAGTGTCATAGGACCACTTTATTTACAGCCTACATTAACAGTATTTGTAACTGCTTCACCTCAAAGTCGTTTACTCCTGCTACACTCATACATTAAACGATATGGTGAGAAAAGTACATCTTGAATTAGGTGGTCTCGCAACATGGTGTGCTGAATCCTGTCTAAAGTTCAACATTGACAAATGCGGCTGGATTTGTATCGGAAACAG